TCTAGTCGTTTAACCTTTTTAATATGTCCACTTCATTAAACCCAATATCGAAAATGTCAGATCTTAAAGGCCTTAATATCTCTGTGATGCTACACTGACTTGAGATAGGCACTTTAGTGTTGAGCCGAGGTGCTGTCAGAACCAAAACTCGGCTTACTCTGTTGTACATGCTTTGTTTGGCTTTGTTAGCAAGGTTATTGAACAGTTTTGATACACATCTGTCATGTTTAGGATTGATACAGTATGTCTGCGCAATGTTTTCTAGTCTTCAGTTAATTTTCAAAAGACAATGTGGAATGATAACACTTATTACTGTATTTCTTACTCGCTTTTTCCACTAGCTTCCACAAGGCACTTGCGACACTGTGTTAGTCATTATTGATTTCAACAATTCTCCGGAACCTGTGATCTTGAGCAAACTCTTCCCATCAGACCTGTTTGGAGAACAGCTTGTGTTTAACTATGACTCATTCCCTTCCTCATAAGCACAAAACACGGCGTCCTGAAGTCTATTCTGGCATTGCTTAGTGCCGTTAATCAGTATTTTCCCCCCCCGAGTCTTTTTAAAGCCAATGAGAGGGCGATGGGAAAGGGACAGCCTGGTTTTTTAATCTTAACCACTCTATCATCTCTGGATACAGAACAAGCCTTCATTCTTTCCTCTAATAGAGTCTCTCCGTTGTGCTAGCCCAACCCACAGTTAGGTATGTAATATATCTGACGGCTGCTTTCTACCAATTGTTGTTGCAAGAGCCTCTCCTTCTAGAACGAGTGGACTTGCCGTGACACGTCTCATTTTGCCTTGTAATTGCTCAGGGACACAGTCCTCCATGCTGACAGTTTTTTCGCGCTCCCTGGCTTCTTCCCCTCCCCCTCTCTCTTTCTGCCTGTGAATCTGATGATGACTACGTTTCCTGTCAGTATTTTTCCCACTTACCTTTCTCTTTTTTTGCTAATTTGCCAAAGTAGTGTCAAATGTGTCTCCCATTACTTTTTTTTTAAGGCAGGCTCTTACTGGTATAATCCATGTGAGAGTGATTTTAAGTCAAATGTCTTCACTGCTTCACGTTTAAGAATCAGACATTTCTTTTTTTTTATATTTTGTCTTCCTGCCTTTTTAATAAGCCGACAGGGTGAGCTAGAATCAGAAATTGTTTTGCATTTATGCTTTGAAACTGACTGAAACGGATAATTGGTTATACAAAAAGTTTGCTAAATAGGATAAAACACGACATTAGGACTAGCAACTGATACCTGGGTTTCTTATTAACTAGCTACGATCAGCTTCTGGTATTATTACTGTGTGTGTGTGTGTGTGTGTGTGTGTGTGTGTGTGTGTGTGTGTGTGTGTGTGTGTGTGTGTGTGTGTAGTGTGTGTGTGTGTGTGTGTGTGTGTGTGTGTGTGTGTGTGTGTGTGTGTGTGTGTGTGTGTGTGTGTGTGTGTGTGTGTGTGTGTGTGTGTGTGTGTGTGTGTGTTCGTTCATTAAGTCTAACCACTGATACTTGGGTACGTGCTGTCAAATTAAAATTACATTTGGAAAACTCCGATGGTGAACAGTCGGCACAACGTTTTCCTGGCATGAGAATGAGAGGCTGGTTTGTTGCTCAAAGTGGACGTTTTACTGGCTTCATGGTTCGTTTAGACTGACCTGAGTTCAGTGACCTGATCCCTCTATAAGAATTAACCCTCTGTTAGCCTCACACAGCAACCATTTCTCAGCGCTAATGCAGCGGCCTTCCTTGTAGATGTAACAACAAAAGGAGTGGGTTTGCTTTAAGCTTCTAGATATCTTGTCCCATTCTGTATTCATTCAGCTGATGAGATGTTTCTCCTACTAAAGCTCCGATCTCCTTATTCCTTCATCAATATATGTTTTTATTACACAGATACATTGTGAACTCTTGACTTATCACTGAAGCCATCTGTGTCGAAAAAATCTTTGTTTTAAGCACCCAATGTTTCCAATACATGCATTTGGTGTCGACAAATCCTACTGTATACCTACTTTCTATGATAATGAATAGAAGTACTTTACATTTCTGAGACAATCCCACATAGAATAAAGCAGTTTGAAGTCACATAATGAACACCGTTAGCACTCATCTGTCTTCAGGAGTTGTATTGACTGCCACCACAAAAGATCAGAACAGAGGCTAGAGGCTTTTGTCCTAAACTGCCCCCTTAGGCCTTTTTGTCCCCTGCTGCCTCCCATCCTGGGGTCATCAATTGATCACCTTTACCACCTCCATTAGCACCACCTCTTCTTCCTCAGAGGGCCTCCAGTGTCCCTGAGGCGTCTCGGCGAACAACTGCTCGGCTCACGGTGTCAGATGGCGTCTTGAAACGAGGCTGTGCAGATAATGTTTCTGCATCTGTTGGAGACGTTAAACCAGTCTGTCTGCCAGGGCTGGAATGAATGTCTATTCCTTTGATCTGCAAATGTGGCTTTCTAAATGCATATCAGTAACTCCTCTGAATGATATACCTGACATGTGCTTTACGGGGGTGTTGCATTATGATTTATATTATTAAAATAGTTGTTTTGATTGTGTTGTTTTATATTTGTTTTGAGGATATAAATTCTTTATTTAATCTATTCAAAATCATGCACCTGCAACTAGAGCTCTACTTATTACTAATTATTTCAGAGAATGAATCCTGCAGTTATTTCAATACTATTTGGTCCCAGCTTCTCAAATATGACTTATTTATGCTTTTTCTTGTCTCATATGAGTTAATCATATGTTTGAGTCTTGAATGTAGGTCAAAAAAAGGAGAAATGTATTTTTGCCTTTTTTCACTTCCTTTGGAAATTTTATTGACCCAAAAACTGGCCTGTAGTAGCTCAATAATGAAAAGTGTGTTGTGTGTGTGTGTGTGTGTGTGTGTGTGTGTGTGTGTGTGTGTGTGTGTGTGTGTGTGTGTGTGTGTGTGTGTGTGTGTGTGTGTGTGTGTGTGTGTGTAAAAACAAAGTGGCTGTTTGTAATGGTGCTGTTGTTTGTTTGTGTCAAGCGAGCGATAAGGCCCTGCAATAGACCATGGCTAATATGATTTCATAAATACTCAGACCAAGGATTAAATAATGAGCCATATGGTCATTAGTGATGGTGTTATTAATGTTCTTTTCTGCGGGGGTGTTTTAAATGTACTTAAATCTGGGTCTTGTTACTGAGATAAATCGCTACACATATAATGCCATAATCACATAAAACCATAAATAAATTCACTTATTATGACAGATTTAATTTGTATATAATGGTTTTTAGTGTTAGAGCTGTGGATGAACTCACCGTGATGTTTCGTTTGTGGACATTTTGAAGCCTTAAATTTGTTTTTTTGAAATAAGAATGGACAGCTAAGTGCAACTGAATGCTGAACACAACATATTGAGACACCCACATTGTTACAGCTAACTTGTCATGAACTGCAAAACCACTGTTAAAGGGTTTAACTTGGAGAATGCCATTGAAGCGATCTGTACCAACATCCTAAATGATACCCTGCTTCATCGTCAATTTGACACTAAACCGGACCAATTTACAAAACAAACATCCTGCTGTATTGAATAACTAGCAACTGGGATTATAAATCCATTATAATTAGTTTTTAATGAAGTGAAAAAAAGGGTCATTTTCCCATAAACTCCTATACATCTGGACTGGGCTTCACTTTCACATTGGCTTTGTTTTCAGACTTATTTATTTTATCGTTTATTTGGCAGGGACAATGCACAGTAATGAACACTTAAAACATTCAAATGTGCCAAGCGTAACAGTGCCAGATTTAGCTTTGAGCTAATTTCCATCCGCAGTCCCTCACATAAAACATTTAAGAAAATTACATTTTACAAACATAGCAAAAACAAAATACATGATATGCAAAAGGGCAAGAGCAGCATACACGAGTATTAACCACATGGCAGTACAATATAGCAGCGACTTGGAGGTTGCTACTCGGTTGAGGAAGCATCCCCAGTGTAGCTGAGCCTCAAGTCTCAGATAACCACTTCAAAGATGATCCAGATCAGTAGTTATAAAATCGGTATGTCTGTCGGCCGTTCTGGAAGATCGGTATTACTGAAAGTGCATTCGGCCTCCTGCTGTCGTGTCTCAGTTTACACAGGTGCTGCAATGTTATGTCAGACCTGCTGGATTTAGATTCTCTGCACTCGCCAGATTGCAGCTCCAAATGTGTATGTGTGTGTATAGTAACATGAGCATGTGTGTCTGCGTAGAGCTGTGGGAGTGCAGCACACTTTCAGATCATTCACTCTCATACTGCGTTGAAACACACTTAGACACAAGGAGCTGGCGTGACACTGCAACATCTTAGATGGAGCGTGGGAAGGTGGATCAAAGCTAAATTCACTTTTTTTTTGCCTCATCCTGTCTTTATTGGCTGGCTCAGAGCTTCAAGTCTGTCATTAGAGCGAGTAAATGAGTTCCCTGTCTCACTGCCGGACAGATAGACGCAAGGCTGGCCTGGGATGAAGACAAGTTAATAAGAAAGAAATGAGAGAGAGGGAATTAGATCTATAGGAAGCTCTTTGTGACATTTTATTCCACTGTGAGCACTTCAGGTTTTCTCTGTACTGCACAGCTGTCTCTTCTCATGTTGATATAATGCTTTCCTTTGCGCCACCTAGTTTCCAGTAACAATACCTCTGAGTTTCAATTATCAGCTCAGCCTGTCAACTTGACAGAGTTTCCCTTTGACCCAGTGGCAGCTGCCTGCAGAGGAGACAAGCAGACAGTTTGTGTCAGCCTAATGACAGTACAGCAAAAATACTCCAGCAGCAGCATGTTCAAATTGCCGAGGAGCGAGCCATAACAGGCAGCATTAGTGACCGTAAATCCCCTGTTTATTTCACATAATATTGGTACATCAGAAGAACCAGGACACATGTTTGACAAATTGTCCTTGTTCCCCCAGCAGGCCTGTAATATATGTAAATCCCTGCATCTACTTTCTAAACCTATTAAGTTTATTACTTACATAGCTTCATTCCTTACTTCTGTGCTGTTCGGATAGGGAAACTTCTGTCAACCATTCTCATTGTCTTCCCTTGTTTCTGTGTGGCTGCAGGTTGTGCGCGGCCCCCCGGCGTGCAGCACGGAGACTTGCTGAACCAGACCGAAGCCAACCGGGGGTCTTTCCCCCTGGGCGCCCTGCTGACCTATGGCTGTGAGCCCGGCTACACCGCAGATGGAGCCACCACCATCTTCTGCACCAGCTCCGGGGACTGGACCCCTCAACCTCCACGCTGCATCAGGAGCAGCGGTGAGCAAGACTACCTGCATGGGACACAGCGACATCAGTGATACTACAGAAACGAGAGGGGGGGGCGGGGGGACACATGGACAGTTCATAATGCTTATATAAGTGTGTGTGAAAACAACAAGGAATCTATATGATTATAACATTTTGAGTTTTCCCTGTATTTCTTTTTAAAAGTCAATCATTGAAAGTGACATTCTCTTTTGAATTAACAGTGTATTATTGATAAGAAGGGGAATAGAGGGAGGGTTTCTTAGTGAGCAAACTTTCTATAACAGTATGTTTTACCTGCGGTCATTCTTTTTTCTTCAAAGGGGATGTGTTGCGTTTATTAAAAGCTTTAGGAGTATTTCCAATGTTCAAACAGGTTAGACTAATTGCCCCTCATCTTTCCAAACAGGAACAACATATGGACAGGAACAAAAAAGCTCCCTCTAGCAGGTGTTTAAGAACAGTTTAAATTGGTTTTCTGTTAGGGGGTAATTCATAATACAGTTCAGAATTCTTGCTCCAAAATAAGCAGTTTGCCTTGCTCAAGGGCACCACGGCAGGGCAGGAGGTGAACTGGGACCTCTCCAAGTAGCAGTCCACACTCCATATTTTAGGTCTGGTCGGGGACTTGAACCGGCGACCCTACAGCTCCCAGTCCAATATCACATGGTGCGATAATATAACGCACAGACTGTCCTTGAGAGCCAGCAGGGAACATTGGGATATTTCACCCTAAAAGAACAGCATCCAAACCTGACCACAGGTAGAAATGCGATTTCGATACACAACAACAGCAACGATTGTTCAAATCTCTTCTGCTTCTGTCTCTTTTTCCAGTGTGCTCTCCCCCCACGGAGCCAGAGAACGGGGGCTACCGCTGTCACCCGTCTCCCTGCCCCCGCCTCGCCCAGAAGACCGTCATCGAGTACTTCTGTGACGAGGGCTACGCTCTGAAGGGAGACTACAAGTTCCTCACCTGCCAGAACGGAGAGTGGGACGGGCCCATGCAGATCAGCTGTCGCCTCACACAAGGTCGGCCACCTCAACTTATTGTTTTAACGACTCGTAATTCAAATGTAAATCTATGAACCCCGTTTTCATTTCCTCTCTGTTCGTTCTTCTTCAGACAAGGAGCCCAGTTCTCCTCTGGGGATCCCCACTCTGTCCATCGTGGCGGCCACAGCCAGCTCCGTGGCTCTCATCCTGCTGCTGGTGGTGCTGTTTGTTCTCGTTCAGCCGAAACTCAAGTCCTTCCATCACAGCAGGTAAGACACGCATAACTGTATTCCTCAACCAAAATAACCATATATTTACCTGTCTGGATTCAACTCCAGACTATAACTTTTAATATTATTATTATTTATTTTATGATCATTTAGTATACTGTATATTGTTTTACCGGTGTAGAAAGTGCTGAAACATTTGGTCTGTATCTCATTACTGCCTTATAAGTGCTGCTGTTTTAGGAAAATACATTTTAGTTTTTCAAATGCCAGATCTGTCTTGAGTTGTTTTGGCTTATCAGTTATGTTATCAGGGTACGTACAAACCAAACGCAAACAAATCCTTATTTCCATATTTTTTTGTTGGTTTCCCACTCCAAATGTGTTTTGAACCGGAGCTAGCCAAGCGTTAAATAATCTTTGATTAAAACATAGATTCAAAGTTTATATGAACATCTGGTAAAAATAAATACATTGAAAAAAGATTCTGGGGCAGTTGAAACTTTCCACATAAATAGGGCAATACAAATATTTCATATTCTTTTGTATTTCCCCTTAGATTAAGTCATAAAGAGTATGTGCTTGTGTCACATGACCCAGAGCCTTCAACCTCTATGTTTGAGTTCAATTAGTTTCCTTGTCTTTGCTGAAGAGTTTAAAAAGAGTAAATGATTAGCCTTTTACTTCTCGAACAGCAGCTGCTGCCAGAAACTCGTGAGAGCTTTATTTCTGTTTGCTGTGGAAAAACACAGCGCTTTTATTTGTCTGTCTCAAAGTGACGCAGCAGATTCAGACTTTCATTCTTTCTGTGGACACACCTATAACTCAGTTTTGGTTGAAACAAGTTACATGAACAGGTTGTTCCAGTTGGCATTTCTTACATACTGGAAAAATAAAAGTAAAAGTATGAAATCCAATCGGAGTGGATGATTTAGATGGACTGCTCATTGGCATTCTTGTTGATGTGTTGCTGAGGGCTTGGTGCAGCCTGCTATAAAGGGATTGTCCTCTCGGAGGTAATGCTGTGGCACACACATGACTGCATCATGCCTTCAACCCTCTCCTCTTCCTCACTCCTCTTCCTCACTCTGCGTCTCTGTCCATCAGGAGGGAGCAAGGGGTGTCCGGCCAGTCCAGCTCCATCATGGTGGAGGGGGTCCAGGTGACGCTGCCCTCCTATGAGGAGGCTGTTTATGGAGGAGGTGGACCCTGTGGGGCCTCTGGTCCTCCACCTTCTCCGTCTCCCCCCGAGGCTCCTACCGAGTCTCGGGTCCCCATCGTGCTCTCTGAGGGTCCTCAGGGGGCCGCCGGGGGCCCCAGCAGGAGCCGCCCCCACAGAGACTTTGACTTATGTCTCCCATCCACGTCCTCCTCATCGTCCTCCTCCTCCCGGCGCCACGCAGAGACGGCGCTGGTTCATCAGGCCCCTTCTTCCTCCTCCTCTTCCTCATCATCATGGGCTAGAGAGCACCCTGGGGGTGCCTGCGCCGGCCCCCTACCTCTCCGTAGAGACTCAGAGAGCAGCGACCAGCACAGTCTGCTCTCCGTCACCTCTGTGGACGACTTCTCTGACGGTGAGAGGAAGCGTCTGCTTTCCACACATTAGCTTCTTAACAAGGAGCCAGACCAATAGCCCTCATGCTATTTGAAATAATGATGTATTGGGATTTTTGTGTATTAAATCATAACAAACACCATTTCTGAAAGGATTCCCTTAGATTAATTACAAATAAGTAGCTACTGAGAAAAAGAAGATAAAATACTAAAACAAATATTTTGACTGAGGGAAATCTTTTTGTTTGTTATTAGGCATAAACAGTGGAAATGAAAACTTTATCACATACTTATCTTGCTGACGAATACTTTATGCATTGGTTAAGATATCAATCAGAGAATGCTTACAGTGGCAACATATAACGACAGACCAAAATACTGACAATATTTGGTGATGTAATGCAGGACAGTGCGGTGGGTAAACAGCTGACTCTAGAGCCCTTACTCTATTCTAATGTTTGCTCTGTTTCCCTGCAGATATCCCCCTGCTGAAGGAAGCATGAAGCCTCCAGCCTGCTAGCAGCAGAGTCCTTATTTCCCTCTCTCACTGCTGACCAGGACTGACTGTGGCTGTCAACCTACTTTCCCCCCCACTCCCCTCACAGCCTGCAGAGAAAAGACTAGAACTATGCCCCCATTCCCCAATGCAACCCCTTCTGCCATTGCTTTCCATGCAGAGCAAAGCCAACAACCAATACTTGCAATGATGGAGCACCACTGCACCCAGCTGCTGGATCGAAATAAAGACAAGCCAGACAATGAGGTGGTGCCAGCTCAACATAAATCCTTTAGGTCCTTTGTATATGTAAGACATACATACTGAGTCACGGTTGTGTACTATAGGCTTTGTTTTATCACACACTTGCCTCCTCCCAGGTGTACTTCTCTATATAAACATTGCTCTCAGAGGCTTCATCGGAAAAAGGCTATAGCAACACGTCCACTCAGTCTGGGATTGCTGCGGATAAAACAAAAAAAAATACTCCTGATGTTCGCCCCTGATTTTCACGCCTGACGCTGCGGCGCTCGGAATCAAAAATCGTCTTCCCGCTGTACTTGAAAAAGTTGTGAGTGACGGCTGGGATCTGTGAATGCTGCATGTGGTTTTTAGTTATTGCTGTCAGAGCGCCATGGCCCGCTGAAAGAAGCACGAAGCCTCCTCTGTCTCTCCCTCTCTGTGTATCCGTGAGGCGTCTAGCTTATGGATCGGTGGGATTGAGAACCACGTCACAAGAGCTAAAAGCAGGCTGCAGCATTTCTTTTAACACCATATCACAACGCTTTTCGTTTCTGCCGCCAGCCGCACCCAATTAATTGATGATTTAGATTCAGGACTTTGCTTTAAGTCTTACCTGTATAAGGAGACATGGGATGCTTTCCATCATGCTAGCATCTGGATAGCATCAGTTTATACAACTTGATAGAAGACGTTCTAGTAGGATACTCTTTTGATTTTCCTTTGCTCCAAGCCCCTAAGAAGCCTTGTCTCCTCAGTCCTTGTTTCCTCAAGGTTCATTTAAGGGATGGAAGATCCACCATGATGTCAGTTTTCGGTTCCTAGGGGAAAAGAGGAAGTGAGGAAGAATACGTTGGCATGATGAAAAGCACGATTATGTCACATTTTGTCTGAGAGCTGAGAAGAGTCTTTTTTTCTTCGAGGTGATCGGACACTTGACTAAACTTTAAGCTTTTTTTCTGCAGTCTGTATTTATTGGTGTGTGGCTCAGTTGGCTTTGACTTGCTGAATCTGTGAGTGTGTATCTTTATGTGTCAGCTAGTTCAGGACATGTAGTCATGCGGTCGCCTCGATACAGCCATTTCCTGATTCGCCTTGCTTCACAATGTCCCCGTCTTTCACCATAGGAAAATATCCATCCCAGCACTGAATAAGTCACATGAACAAACCAGCGTCCCGTCAGCCAAGTAGTCCACTACACAATGCGTGTATTATTCATGTTCTCTCATTCTAGAATATTCATCATTTTCTGCTGAATGGCTGGAAACCCAAATCCCCTCAGAGGAACTGGCTCTCGCCCACCTTCCCACTGAATCAGACTCTCCACTATTGTGCATTATTGACACAACTGCAACTGGTTGCAGTGCAACGTTTTGTGAAACACCCCAACCTCGCCTCACACACTCACTCGTCCTCCCTAATGCCAAGTGCAAATTTAAGAAAGTATCCTATTATTTAGTTAGAAATCTGTTTTAATTGAAAAGCTTTTAGTGGTTGAGCTGGTCACCCTGGAAACGACATGACTCGGATGGATCAGGAGAATTACCTTTCAAGCTAAACTGCTCAGAAACCCCCCGGAACAACCCTTTCTGAATTTCTATTCTTGTTTTATTTGGCATTAGTGGCTGTCTGTCGTTGTCAATGGCTACATTATTAATGCAAACAGAATGTTGCCTTAGACTTGTAAATTGTCTTTTTCTTTTTTTTATAATCTTAAGCGTCCGCATTGGTTGCTTTAAAATCTTGCAACATATTCTGTTTTCCCAATGGCCTTACTCTGTTCTTTTCTATTCTATGCATACAACTGTCTTTGTGTATTTATCAATGAGTTTACTTTTGCTTTGGACACGACTAAACAATGTCCATTCTTCTCTGTCCCCCCCATATAGCTTTTACAGCTACTGTGATGATGATGATGAAGGTGGTGGTGATAATGATGAACGTATGGGCACCTATATTTCACTATTCCTTTGCAACAAGGCAATAAAATATTATGGGATTGACAAGAGACAAATGATGAAATTATCTTAACCATTCAGAAACACTGTTGTACGGTGTTGCGTTCCTGAAAAATAACAAAAGTACACATGTTGATTCTTCGTTTCAAAAATGCTTTCTGCTTTGGTTTTTCCTCTGTACATGGCAATGGGTGTGAAGATAGTAATTTAATATTTGTATAAAGTTTAATTTAATTTTACAGTGTGTATATAACTTTCTAATTAAAGCTTTCTTTTAAATGTGGAATATGATGGGTCATTATTTCCAAATAACATGTTTCTATACTTCTTTGGTTGAGAATCTGGAAAGATCTGAACCATGAAGTGAAACTCCTGTCCACTGTCAGAATGAATGCAGTAGCCTACTTCCTGGATCTGTGCAACCCATAATCGGTGTTATATTTCTAGAGCTATTCCTAGCGTGCATCACGTATTATCAGTCACATATAGTACCTCATGATATTCTAACCAGCTATGAGATCACTAACAAACCTCTGTATAAGGAAGTACTCTATCCGTTCCATCAATTCAAAATCAATAAATAACCATCAAAATGGAGAGTACATGTATTCTTCGTCAAAGGTCCTCCTAGATAAATATTTTATGTTCATAACTGCTTCCTGGATTATGTTGCTGTGTTTTATACGACTGCAGAATGACACACCTGACTTCTTGAAACCAATTTAGTATGCTTGCAATTTAGAAAGACATGTTCTACCTGGATTCACTTTATTTTAATGTATTTTTATTGGATGTTTCTTATTTAAGCTATAGCTACTGTAGATCATTGTTTACTGTGTACTGTATACAGAAATATTGTGTCAGAGTGACACCTGGTGGTCATAATCAGAAACGAAACCGATGAGTGAGTGACGTCATGTTCGGAAACCACTTCGGCATTCTTCGTTTTTCTGCTGCCTCACCATCCGCCAGGTCGCAGAGAAAGTAGAACCTTTACATATCTACCAATTAGAACACATCAATTGATTAATAATGGGGATTTAATGCTTTGCTAAAAGGTTACAGTTACATGCAAAAACCCCATCACAACAGTGCTTCGGTCATTTCCTACTGTGCTTGTAGTATCTTAGATTACTAATTTGATTACTGCAAATACTAATTATTTGTCAAATTAACTTTTTTAAAGTGTGGTCTTCCAGTTACCCTGACTGTGTCTCCCTCTGGGAGGCCTTTACGGTAAGAACAAGGAATTGGGAGAAAACCTAACAGTGCTACAGATCATTGTAGTACTTGTATCATACTTTAAAAAAAAAAAATTCTGGGTATGTTTTGCCTCAGTCTGAAGCAGGATTGGTTACAGGATTGTGATCATTTCTGGCAGATTGTGGTCTACTACTATTAATGCCTGGCTAACCCCTTTATATATACAGTCTATGGGCTAACCGCACTGATTCGAATGAAGGAGCATTACTGCAGGGATCCTTGAAGTACGCCGACGTGCGTTGACTTGCGAAGGCGCGTTTATTGCTGCTCGCATCTTTAATTATTATTATTATTATATTATTATATCAATATATTTTTTTTCATTTGATTTATTTTACATTTATACACTATTGTGTTATGTCTCTTGGAGTAGGTAGACATGAAATCATCAAAAATGACATTAAATAAATAAAGGGAAAAAGAAGGGAAACAAAGAAAAATAGAGTTTCATATTTCCGATAAAAAAACATGTAAGTACACAGTTTTGATTGCCGATTTAGTCATACTGTTTTTTAATAGTGCTACTATATTGGTTTAACTATTGGTAAGGAGTTTTCAAATTAGGATTCCTTAAAATAAAAAAACACAGATGATATTTCCGGTTATATCTCACCAGTGGGTGGCGCTAACGTCTAAAAAAAGAGTGGGAAAACGTCAAAGACGAAGAAGAAGAAGTGGTAGAAAAAGACGTAGAAGAAGAATACCGTTTTCATTATACATCCATGCTCAACCACCCCCTCTCTGAAAAGCAAAGGCTCCATTTTGTTTGCTTCCTGCGGTCACAGTCAACACACCCTGCAAGGAAAACAACGACAAAACCCCGTCTACAGTAAGTGCACAGCGATTAAAATGTATCTCAACATCACTATAGAGTTGTGTTAAAATAAATATATGTTGCGTATGAGCATTGTTAGCTTAAAATAGCACGACCAACGGCTGGCTAAGAAATTGGTTGTTAGGCCCCAGCGGTTGTCTTGCTAGCTTGCTAACAAAACATTTTAACCAACGTTTTTAAACGGCTTGATTTGCGAGTAGTTTTAACATTATTTTTCATGTTCTGTGTTAGATACATTCTTCAAGTTAATGTATGTACGCCTGTTTGCAGATAATTTTAACTACGACATCGGAAATGAGTGGATGTCGTATTTTCATCGGCCGTCTGAGCCCATCGGCCAGAGAGAAGGATGTGGAGAGGTTCTTCAAGGGATACGGCCGCATCCGGGATATCGACCTCAAGAGGGGCTTCGGCTTTGTGGTGAGTCCTCTTAAGTCATATACAATTATTCTGAAAGCTTATATATGCTGAAAAAACCTCAAACTCCAGTGTTCAAAGTAACTAAAACTCCCTCTGTACATTTTATATTCAATTTAATATTGACTTATCAATTTCTTGCACAAGTAATGTGTCTATATAATATCCTGCATTGTATTTGTTACTGGAAATTTGTATTTCCTCATGTATATTTAACTTTTTAATGCTATTTTATTTCAGAAATATTTTGGACTGTTTATTTCTAGTGTCTTAATTTCTCTTATTTGCCTTGTTTTTTTATGCCGTTGCAATGCAAACATTTCCCAGATTGGGATCAATTAAGTACTTGTCTAACTAAGTATATCTACTCAAGTTCTGTTATTAATGTTTGTTTCTTCGACCTAAGTACAAGATCTAAGTATTTTTTCCACCTCTGCCCAACTTTACATTCAAATATCTGGGCATTTGCATTTCGCTCAACAGGCAATTGGGTTGAGAAATCCTTTGTTCATTATTTGTCAAGAATGATCCTAAACCGGTGTGGAAAAGGGACAAACGTGTTCTGTTTGTTTAGGAGTTTGACGACCCCAGAGACGCTGAAGATGCTGTTTATGAGCTTGATGGCAAGGAGTTGTGCAGTGAAAGGTAGGAGTTATGCAAAAACAACAATGTGAATAAACTTGTTTGGGTTCTCGTTCTCTTCTTACTCTGTTTCATCAAGAACTGTTTTTACAATTTTAAAACAAAACCCTCTTTAATTCAGGGTGACCATTGAGCACGCTCGTGTGCGTCTGCGTGGCGGCCGTGGCGGAAGCAGAGGAGGCAGTGGCGGCAGCGCCGGAGGACGTTTCTCCTCTGATCGCTATGGCAGAGGCTCCCAGAACAGTCGGAGGTAAAATTCTTATATCATGCAAAGTTATGGTTACAAAAGGCCTTTTGATAGGATAGGATATGATATGGGTTTTTTTTCTCCATTCTATTTCAATGTAAGTACTGCTTTTATTTAATTTTACTATATTTAATTATAATGTTCTTAAAATAGTTCTCTGTGTTTTAATTTTATGTATGCACCACGACACCAAGTCAAATTCCGTGTACGTGTAAACCAACCGGATTCTAATGATACCAGATAGAATTGCTTGGTGTAATTTTTAAATGAAGAAAGGAATGCATATAAATGTAAACTTTCAACAGTCATGGTGAAAAGTTTATTATTTAATGATTGCACTCGTGTTTTTTTATATTGGCTACTGCCCAAGTTTCTTTTCCTTGAAATAAAACAGTTTACGGATTTTAATAAAAAATCTACAGATTGGAAATGTCTAACATTCAACACGAGGCCTGTGCTCCCTCCATTGTAAAGGTCCATGACATGAATAAGCCTCTGTTAATGAAAGCGCTTCAGCTCAGTGCTCGAGTCATTAGTTAAACCTCACACTGTTATAGTTCAACTGATAGATTCTTTTTTTCTCTTTTCAGCCGAAACCCTCCTCCGATGCGCACGGAGAATCGCCTCATCGTTGAGAACTTATCGTCTCGCGTCAGCTGGCAGGTTAGTTTTTCCACATGATTTTGATGCACAGCAAGTCTACAAGCTGCAACATATATTATCACCTCCAACAGTCTGCCTCCAACAATACACACATACAACTGTAGATTTTCCGTGATGCTAAAAAACATTGATTTTCTGGAATCTACTCAATCATTTTTACTTGGCTTGCTAAATGTTTAAAACAGTTTTTTTTTATTGTGATGAGGCCCAAATTGTTATTTAAAAATAAATTATTAAATCTGCATCTAATGCAGTTAAGTAATGAGACAACAAAATTAAAAAACACTTAATTTGTTCATTTTTTTTCAAATTGTAACCAATTCTTCACCCCTCTATTTGCCAGCCTGACTGTTGTGTCATAAGGAAGAGCTCGCTTATGGTGGAGTTAACCCCTTCTGGGTCCTTCTGTCTGGGTTGAGCCCTGAGGTGTCAGCCAGTCTGTCCTACTCCTAGTTGATGCCTGCTGGTCATGTGAGCGCTCGCTCCTCACTAGAGGCGCTGGCGGCCCCTTCGTTCGCTCGCACCGCCCCCTGTTGAAGGCATGGGTTCGCCTGATGTGTGGCTGAGAGAGAGGAAACAGAGAGTTGGCAGAGAGAAAGGAGAGGAAAGAGCGAGAGTCGATGGTGATGGTGGTGGCGTATTGATCGATGGTTCGTTAATTTGAGGGGCTTCAGTCGATCGATATCCCCCTCCCCTCCCCCTCTGGTGTTCCCGCACATCGCGAGCGAGAGAGAGAGTGTGAATTCCTCCCAGGTGCCCATGGATAATATCTGCAGTTATGGTGGGCTCGGAGAGCCTGCGGCCCCCTCCAAAGGGTTTCGCTCTCAGGTAGTAGTTTCCTCTCTTCCACCCTGTTCACTCTCTTTACTGAGACAGGGTGCCGAGACAAGGGCGGTCCCGGCGTGGAGCCCTGTGCCCTCTTAGTCAGGGAAAATGGGGCTCTTGGTGCCAAAGGCTGCCCAAGTGGCGCCACTGCAGTTCAGTTCATGCAGATGGTGTTCATGTCTCTGTAGTTGTAATGAGTCCAAGAATCTCAAAGCTTTTGCAAATACTTAATTGATTTTCCACTCATAACACTTATCCAAATTGGTCTCTTTAAATTGGCATACATTGTATTTTTTCTAAAAACACATTTTAGTTTGAAGGACTGCCTGTGAGGTTCTTGGACTCATCATCCTTATCTGCAGTAGTCTGTGTAGTCCTCTCAGACAATCTAACC